GCTGCTTATAGTTCTGGTCTCTTGGTAATGAATTTTTTCAGGTTTTTTATGTTTCAAAATTATTTTGCCTTCGCTTTTGAAAAATGTTTCATTGGGTATGGAATTCTAGGTTGTTATTTTTCTTTCAGCATTAAAAAAATTGCTCACTGCTTCTTGCTTGCTTTGTTTCCAAGGAGAAATCTTTTGTCATCCTTCTCTTTGTTCCTTTGTATGTAACATGTTTTTTTCCTCTGGCTATTTTATAAGATTTTCTCTTTATTACTGTTTTTGAACAATTTGATTATGATATGCCTTGAGGTAGTTTCATTGGATTTGAGGTTCATTGAGCTTCTTGGATATTTGGGTTTATAGTTTTCATAAAGTTTTGGAAAAAAAAATCTCAATTATTTCTTCAAATATTTCTCTTTTTCCTCTCTCCATTCCTGTAGAGACTCCAATTACATGCATAATGGAGTAGTTCAAATTGTCGAATGGCTCACTGATGCTCTATTCATTTTTTAAAAAAATGACTTTTCTCTGCCTTAAATTTTGTGTAGTTTATATTGATATGTCTTGTTCATTTTTTATTCTGAGATGTCTAATCTTCTGTTATTCCCATCCAGTGTATCTTCTATCTCACACATGATAGTTTTCACCTCTAGAAGTTAGATTTGGGTCTTTATTTCATCTCTCCACTTAACAGGAAAAATATGGAACACAGTTATAGGAACATTTAATGCCCTTGTCTGGTAATTCTAACATCTGTGCCAGTTCTGGGTTGGTTTCATGTGGAGGATGGTGAAGGCTGATGTCAAAAGTCAGGTTAAGTGCTTGGCAAAGCCACGCTTGACCGCTTGCATCTGCAAAGCAGAGCAAGCTGACAGCTGATGGCAGCCAGAACCCAGGGCGGTTGAGACGGAAAGAGTTAACCGCAAGCTTCAGTTGAATGCGACTACAGCCTTGGCAGAAGAAAGTTTCATCATTGAGGTAGCCTGGGAAACGAACAATCTTTTCCCACAGCTGCAAAATGTCCTTGAGCTTCATCTAAGCAACCCCCATAAAATAAACGTGGAGACCGTGTTCAGGGTCATTGTCTCTCCATCTGAGGACAATGCCCCACCTGGCCCCCGCTTTTTCTTAAACTGTGTTGTCTCTTTCTCAATCTCCCGCCGCCACCCCCGCTCAGGGACCTCCACTCCATGCGAGTCATGGCAGTTTCAATTCTTATATTTTTCTCCTCACTATGGGTTGTACTTTCCTGCTTCTTTGCATGCCTTGTTGTCTTTGATTGGATGGCAGGCCTTGTGAATTTTACCCCTACACCAGCATGTGCCCTAAATCGGGAATCAAACTGGTGACTTTTTGGTTCACAAGCCGGAACTCAGTTAGGTACTGGGTATTTTTGTATTCCTATAAAGATTCTTGAGCTCTGTTATGGAATGCACTTAAGTTACTTGGAAATAGTTTAATCGTTTTGGGCTTTTCTTTTAAGACTTGTGAGGTGGAACCACAGTACTCTTTACTAGAGAGCTAATTATTCCTCACTACTGAAAGTAGGTTCTTCTAAGTGCTTTACCCAATTATAATATTCTTCTAGTGTGGTTTGTGGGAATAGGCACTATTCCCAGCATTGTGAGTTCCTTTTAATCCTTTGGATAGTTTCCCAACCCTCAGATAGTTTCTCACATGTGTGCACTGATCAGTACTCAGTCGAGTACCTGAACAGGTCCCCTCTGCAGATTAAAGGGTTTTTCTCCATGCAATGCTCTCCTCTCTGTTTTCTAGGTTGCAGCTGCCTTGGTCTCTCTGAACTCTCAGCTACATTTCTTTCACTCAGGAAGTTTACTGGACTCCACTGGATTTCCCCTCCTTGCACTGCTACCTGAAAACTCTCTCAAGGCTGTAAATGAAAGCAAGCACAGGGCTCCCCTTCTTTCAGAGTCACTGTTCTTCATTGCTTGGTGTCGTCGTTCAAAACCATAGTTTCATTTATCTTGTCTTTTTTTTCAGTTGTTTCAGATTGGAGACTAAATCTATTTCTTGTTAATCCATCATGTATGGAACTCCCTACTTTTTTTAAAAAAGATTTTATTTATTTTAGAGAGGGGAAAGGAGGGAGAAAGAGACGGAGAGAAACATCAATGTGTGGTTACCGCTCACGTGCCCCACACTGGGGACCCGGCCTGCAACCCAGGCATGTGCCCTAGACCAGGAATAAAACTGGCAACCCTTTGGTTCGCAAGCTGGCACTCAATCCACTGAGCCACACCAGCCAGGGCAGAACTCACTACTTTTAAAGAGATTTAAATGTCTTTTCTGTTTTTCTACATAGTTGCATATTTAGTGTTTTTTCTTCTGTTGTGTGGATCCATACTTCCATCTGCTGTCATTTTCAATCAAAAGAAGTTCCCTTAACATTTCTTATAGTATTGGTCTGCTGGTAATTAACTCTTCAGCTTTTTAATGCCTGGAAACGTCTTTATTTTGCTTTTGTTTTGAAAGATATTTTCATGTCTCTTCTCAGAAAATAATCCACCACAAGAAGAAATAGAAACGCAAAATCCATCTTGGATAATTGTGAAAGATCTTTGTTTCCTTGAACTACAACATAGAAAAATGAAAAGATGGTGGAATGGTATGAGTGAAAATGATGATGATAGTACATGTATTAATGCTTATTCTGTAAGGGACCAATATCTATTAGAGGCTCAGCTGCATATTAAAATTAATTTAAGGAGGACTTAATAAAGGGACTTCACACAAACCTGTGGGCAGGATTTAGGGACAATGCAACACCCTGGGACTAGGAAGAGTAGCGGTATTCCCATCCTAAGCTGTAATGATTACTGGAATTCAGAGTGGAGCTATGACTTCATGTCAAGAGATGCAGCCAGCCCAATGAAAACTGTAATTTTTTAATAGTTCTCAAAACAATTTCACATACACCATACACTATGCCAGTTTTTAAACAGCCTGAGAGTTTTCACTGTCCCCATTTCACAGACATACGATAGATGCACTGAATAGAAAATGTAGAATGACATCTTTCAAAGCTTCACAGACAGCAGAGTTCACTACTATTTAGGTGTGTTTGTGTCTGAACATTTATAAGTGGACAAGTTACTTGGAATGCATACCCAGTTTTGTGAACTAGATGATCAGCTCTCAAAGATACAGAGCATAGTTTCTATTTCTTTTCTAACCCACCAGGTCAATTTTTTTTTTAAAGCTGGTTCCAAATTTATTTTTGTTTCTTTGCAGGAAAAAATTTTGCATTGGTAGTTATGATCAATTTCTTGTCTGCAGTTATTTTTTTTTGTTCTAATTAAAAGTATAGTTGCCATTAAATATAAATGTTGAAACACTATGTTGTATACCTGAAACTAATATGATATTGTATGTCTTCCTGGTCAATTAATAAACTGCTTCTTCTGGGTATCCAGAGCTGCCTGTTGCACCAATCAAGCCCAGAGAAAGATTTGATGCAAAGAGCAGTATTGTTTTGCAAACTTGTTTGCTTAAGTACCCTTGAGTTGCATTGAACATAATTGCCTTCTCTCATTGTGTGTCTGAGGTGGGCAAGGTTTTAAGTCTCCATTATCTTTAGATTCCTTCTGGTGGGTTTGTGTTTGAGTCGCCTTCTTCAAATTCCCTTCCAACACTGTAATTCTACAATTCTGTCAATAAACAAGACAGCATGAATTAAGTCAATCAACTGCATCAATGGGTGGGGGTGTTCGGTGGCTTTTTCTACAATGCCAAGGGGAGCCAAGTAGGGGAAACTGCCCAGGTGAAATTGTGTGGTTAGATGTTCTCTTTTCAAATCTTCTGAAGAGTCCTCAGGTCTGTGAAAAATTTGTAGAAGGTGGAGGGACATGGACAGACTGCAAATGTAAAGTTGAACAGCTAGTTTACCAAGACAGGGGATTGCAGTTTCCTGAAAGCTCAGAGGTGTTGTTAAAATAGGACTATTGTTATGGAGAGTTTGTAGCTGCAGTGAACCATGCTAGGAATGCAAACAGAATCAGTCAGTGGTGATGACCGCAACTCAGAAGCTGAAATCACACTCTAATTTTGCACAAAATTGCTATTTGTGGCTCTTTGCTTATGAATTTTCGTGTAGACTGTGAGGATTACATTTAGATGTGTGTCAAATAACATCTTGAAAGTAGACTGAAGAAAACTATTTGCCCTGTCATTTGTACTAACCCACATATTGTCAGTACAAATGTTCTCTAACATACTAGTAGAGATATACCCTCTAGTATCAAAGTCAATACAATCATAGGAGTGAAAAGTGGAAAGAATAGTCAAGAGTGGCTCTGAAGGACAAGAAGGCTTCAAAGGAGGAGGAGGAAGAAGACCAGGAGAACAAGCAAGGGTAAGTTCTTATTTTGGAAAATCTTATGTATGTGAAATCTTGATTAATCTGGGAACTAACAAGATGTTTAAAAAATGCTGAGAGCTTATTATAAAGAAAAGACTAATATCAGCATTACTGGGCCAACATGCTACTGAGGATTGGCAACCAGTTGCTTAAAACAGTTTACCCTTTTCTTCTAAAAACTACTCTGGGAGAATAAAACTAATGATTTTAGCCAAAGAAAAAGTGAATTGAAATTCCAGTAAGAATTTCAAAGTGAAATTTGCTTTCCACTGTTTAGCCTTGAGTTCTCCAATAGTCACCTATACTAACAGTGAGATTCAACACTTCTTTTCCTATAATAATTCTGACTTGTTACTTGACACATAGTATCAATTCAAGATGTAGTTGTTAAAAATGAATAAATTAAGTGAATGTGCAGAGAATGACCTTAGAAATACTGAGTTCTGCAAAAGCTTTGATAGATCAAAGCAAAGCATTCATTTCAACCTGTACCCTATTTTAAAGTTTGCGTTTAGGCACAAGCGAAAATTTTGGAAAAAACCTCCCAGGAAGATAGTTGAAATTTGATGTTTGTAGGGCACAAACTGTACACAAAGAGGACAACATTTTATTGTAATTTATTTGAAACGCTCCCAGAAAAGTTTAAGGCCATTATACAAAAACATTCATTTCAGCAAAACATTCATTAACTTTCTTCCCATAAGCCAACATTTGACAGATCTCTTTTTTCAACCTAGTGGCTGAAGTGGCCGATGGCTCCTGCAAATAATGATTCATTCTTCTCCCCACTATCAAACAGTTTTTCTCTGCTTCTAGCTGCAGCAGTTTCATTCACTCACTAAATCAGTAACAAATTCAGAAACAAAGCAGTTTTAAATAAACTTGTAATAGAAAAAAAATTCACCATGTTTAAAATCTATAAATACAGAAATATGTTTACAGGGTAAAATTGACCACAATATTTTTTGTTTTTGAAAAATAAGTAACATACCTTGTTTTTATATTGCTAAATCTTGTCACACAGCTTCTCTGAATGCACGATAGATGTACATAATAAAATGACAACATAGTATTTACTGCTTTCTTTTATGTAAACTTGAAAGACACAGAAGAGTACAAAACTTTTTTTGGCAATAATTTAGCATCATTACTACTAGTGCTGGTGTGGGTAGAATCTTGCACAGGTCAAATATTTACACTCTCAGGAAGCTTTTCTGTGTATTCAGTTAACTTTTTTTTTAAAGTCTACGACCCACACTACACTGTAAATAGAGGCTGGGCAAAAAGTACTAGTTTGGCTACCTGACCCTAATTAATCATAGAGTTAATTAAGTTGGCCTTTAGAGAATATAATTATGATGCTGATGATAGCACAGAGCAAGACATGGCAAACTCAAGACCCAAAAGTACAGCAGGAGAACCCAAGGTTCTGGCTGTTTCCGGAAGGGCACTGGACTTTTTTCTTTTAATGTTTCTCACATAAAGTCATTATGAAGTACTTCCTCCAAATTTTTCCTTCTCACATGATTCTATAAACAGAGTCACTGACTCGGTTTCAGTCTTTTTTCCTTGTCTCTTCATTCATGCTCTAAAATATGAGTAGGCCTGGGTAGATGAAACAAAATGAAGATGGGCTTTCTTGTTATCCTGCCAGGTTTTCTCAGGCCCTTTGAGTTCAATTCTGATGTTTTAGGCTAGAAATGGCTCTCAAAGGCAAGCCAACAACTATGCCAGAGATTCTTAGGTGCAATGCACATTTCAGTTCAAGATTTAGAGCTGACAGCAGTTTTTGTGCTGGTCCTTTTAAGGTCAGGCTCTATTTCATGCCCTAATAGATTATTGCATCAAATTTGCACTGGATGACATTACAAGGTCAAGAGGGTGGTTCTTCCTTTGCAAAATTAAGCCTCCAGAACCTCCAGGGATGTTTATTTGCTTTCTGGTTGTAAAACATCTAATCAAGTTCACTGTAATGACTGATTGCTCCTAGGTTTTCCTTCAAATGCCATCACTATACAAGAGTGACTTCCTCATACACGAGTGACTTCTTCATGTCCTGTTTGCAAGGCCCCCTAAATTCTGTGCCTTCAGCTACTGCATCAAAGAGCTAGAAAAGCACTAGAGAAACATGGAAGGACTCTGTAAGAATCTATATGAAACAGTAGTTTAGAGACTCTTTTTCTCTTTTTTTAAATCCAGCAGGACATTTGAAAATAACTTGTTCAAGTACCTCTTCATCCATCCAGACACTTGTGAAATACAATATAGAGAGCAGTTGCCATAGATTCCAGGTTACACAGACAGATTGGTAGTTACAGTACTAAGGACAAAGGTACAGATACAAGAGACTAGGTCAACATGGTCACAAAAGTATTAAAAAGTGCTTCTCCAAACCGTTCCATGTGTGGAATGCAAATACTGTACAGGTAGGATATAGGGCTACTTCTCAGAAGTACATGCTTCTGTCAGACATTGCTTTCAACCTGCCTGCTGTTCCCACAGGAAGAGTCTGTCTGTTCCATGTGCTCACAATCGAGGCTGACCTCACTTGTGTCCATACTACAGTCTGATTCACTGTCTGATTGGTCCATCTGCTCAAGTTTTGTTTCTCCCTGTGGCTCCCTGCTCCCGGTGGCAGGATTTAGGAACGGTCCCTCGGAGTCGAGCTCCCCAGCCTGTCCAGCAGCACACAGGACTGTTTCTTTGGCTTGACGAATACAGTTGAGCCACTGCTGTTTGTTGAAGGTGTCATTGGCTTGTAGTGAGTGGGTCTGACTTTGGGATCCATTTTTGAAACTTACTCTAAAGAAGTTTTTAACTAGAAATGAAAAAAACATTAAAAAAGGTCAATGGACGGATATTCCCCAAGGCCAAAGATAACATATGTAGTAACACTATCCTCTAGTAGTCATGCCGACATCACTAATCGATTGCAAAATATATCCCACTAATCCAGGACATGGCTCAACAATACCCTGCAGCCACCATCAATCAACCAGAGTTGACACAGGTCTAGTTCAGTTGTCCTCAAAAGCTACCAAGAGGATATCAGCCCAGAAAAACTCAGTCATGTTTCCGGGGACCCCAAATTAGTGGTTACCAAATTGGCTGCCTATCAAAATGCCCTGGGGAGCTTATTAAAAATTTAGATGCCTGGGCCCTACCTTTAGAGATTTGGATTCAATAGGTCTAAGGTGTGCCTAATAGTCTATAATTTCAACAATTTCCTCACGCTAGAAAATTTTGCAAGTTTAAGAGGCTTTTTATAACATCAAAACAAGCCTACAACTCTCCACATGATGGTACCTTTTCATTTAGTATCCAGTGATTGAGAAGATACGTAATGACACAGAGCTGCTTATAAATTCGGTTTCATTTAAAAATAAAATTACATTTTAATTACCTCAACAGGAGTTACATGCATTTAAAAAACAGTATTGCACAGTATGGAAGGCAATTTTATTTAGTTTAATAACAGCAACATCAATTGGCACTTAATGGGCCCCATATGCTACACGCAATGTTCACAGAAGCATCTGCGCTCAGTCAGCTCCTTTGCATGATCCTTGTAGTCAACACTGGGAACCACCACTTGAGATAAATTCAGGCTCCACTCCTTGCTCTTGGGCAAGCGCCTTAACTCCTTTATGTCTATCTCCTTATTTGTAAAATGTGGGGAAACAAAGAGAACCTACCTTATAAAGTTATTATGAGGAATAAATGTGATAATACACATAAGTCCTCATACAATGCCTGGCACATAACCAGTGTTCAAGATATATAAATTACTACTACTACTACTAGTACTACTACTAGTACTACTACTATCACTACTACTACTATCTTACTATGAGTAGGTAAGAGGTAGTACATATTAATGACTTTGACAACATGATGCCAATGTTAACCCAAAAGGCTCAAATATCACTTTCTCAAAGACTTCCCTGACCAATTCATCTAAAACAGATCTCTCACTGCTATTTCCATCTACCCCCTTACTTGGCTTTAGTTTTCTTAACAGCCCCCTAGAATATTATATTTCTCATCTATCTCCTCCATCACAATGTAAGCTCCACAGAGGCAAGGAATATACTGTATTTTGCTTTGTATAATGCACATCAACGTTTCTGGCCCAAACTTTGAGGAAAAAAAAATCTTTTGTTTTAATTTCTTAATTCAATTAATTATTTATTTATATTTAGAAACAAAACCAATTATCGCAATCCAGGGTATTATTTTGCATACAGATATCGTTATTGCTTTTTAGAATTACACTTTTAACACATAAGCATAAATAAAAGAATTAAAAACATTTATATAAATACAGAATTAGTACTACCCATGTACAATGTGCACCCTTGTTTTTCCCTCAAAAGTTTGGGGAAAAAAGTGCACATTACACAAGACAAAATACAGTTAGTTTGGTTCACCAGTGTGTACTAGTGCCTAGAACAGTGCTTGACACATAGAAGATACTTGATAGACATTGTTACATTAGGTTCTCTTGGTTAACTCCTTTATTCAGTTCAGGTTAGAGAAGCCCACTTTAGTAAGTACAGATGAATCCGCAACCCTATCGACCATTCTTATCTCTTTAGAGATGAGTCTGCAGCTCAAGTCCAGAAGCCACTGTTATGCAACTGGTATCTACATAGGGGCCATCTAGTATTAAGCATGCTTTTACCCAACAGAAAGATAACAGAAAAGGAGCTTAAGAAGCACCAGTTATGTGCAGACAGGTTCACTTGCAATCTTACTTAATCCTTCCAACAACCTTATGGAGTAGATATGCATGCATTCCCACTTTGCAGATGAAAAACTGATGCTCACAGACATGAAAAAAGCTACACAATCAATAAGCGATTATATAGTACTAAGATGCAGTTAGACTCCGAGGCCATGGCTCTTCCTTTTCCAGCCAGCCACTCTGAACCACCACTGCCACAAAACCCTGAACAGGTCACAACAAACTGTTACCCGTACTTCTCTCATTGTTGCTGAATGCCCCTCGCAGGGAACCGCCCAGCCTCACTTCTCCATCCTGCAGGTCTTCCAGCAAGAGGTCCTTCACGGGGATCGGCTGCCGGAACAACTGGTAGCAGAGCTGCTCATTTTGGGTGACAGCTCGAGTGATCACAAGTACTTCTTGGAACAGGAAAACATGCAGTTTCTGAAAGAGAAGAATCCACAGAATCTCCCTAAGCAAGTGTCCAATGAGTAGTTGACTACTGGACTAAGAGATCTGTAGGTACTAAGTTCACAGTGGATTGCACACTTCTAGGCTCAAATCTACCACCAGGCGAACAGAAGTCATGCAGGTCTCAGGTATTTACAGATGCATCCATTGCCTTTGTTACAGAAGCACCTCTCTAGGGTCCCCTGGAGAAGGCCTTTGTGCCTATAGACCCCCTCAGCCAAGGCTGCCTTCACGCTGCAGTTCAGAACCTTGTAACACACACTGCGCCAGCTCCCATACACGAAAAAATGAAGAAGGGGAATAGAATGAAGGAGGTAGTGAGGCGGGGGAAAAGTTAGTACCTTCCTAGCTTCGGTTTATATGACCCAATACAATTCTAAGAGATCAAATGATCAATAGTCTCTAAAGGATGAGATTGGTATATCAAAGCCTAATATCAATCTTTCCTTCCCAAACTCAAAACAAAACAGAACAAAATAACCTTGTTCCTTTAACCACAGAGCTGATTATCAGCTTCATCCAGGCACTCCAATTTGGAACACCGCCCATTCCTGAGGAAACCAGAGCGTGCTGCCGCAGCCGCAAAGGAAAAGATCAAAGAAGTTGTCCTTCCCAGTTAGGTTCATCAGAACCTCAGCTCTCTGAAGAGGTTGTACTTAAAAGGCTGACGACTGATGTGTGTGTTGTGGGCAAAAAGAAAATCTCAAAAATAAAGGCTTGTGTCAAACCACATCATGAAAGCAATTTTGCCAGGTGGAGAGGGGGTAAATTGGCTCCATTAAATTCCATGTGCCAGACTCTTCTCACTATTTGGGAATGCTTAGGATTAAAGTGAAAAGATCCACAACTTTGCAGCTGAGTTCTGGTTTTCTAGTGGAAATACTTGGGATTGTCAACTTTAAGGATCCTGAAGAGGGAACCAGAAGAATAGGGATAGAAACTCATGCTGGAATTTTTTTGTTTTTGGTATGTATTTTTGTATTCTTGAGTCAGTTTTTCAGATGAATTTTCAAATTTATTGGCATAAACTTGTTCCTGGTAAAATCTTATCTTCTTTGTTATTAAAGTATAGTTGACATACAATATTACACTAGCTTTAGGTGTACAACATAGTGATTTGACATTTATATATCTTACAAACTGTTTACTACATTAAGTCTAGTAACCACCTGTCATCATACAAAATTATGATATTATTGACTATATTCTCTTGTGCTGCCCATTACCTGCCGTGACTTAATTATCTTATAACTGGAAGTTTGTACTGCTTATTCCCCTTCACCTTTTTCTCCCATTTAGAATTTTGATATGGGGCAGGGGAAGCACATTCAGCACTATCAGATAATTTTATATTTGGGAGAAATGAGACCCATCCCCACCCTACCACAGGCAGGTACACATACCCCCCAAAACTGCAGAAACTAAACTTCAACTAAATGTTGACTGGTGGAAACACAGATGATAATTCTGCATTGGGGTGGGGGACTTGAGGAGTGAGACTTTATGTTTATCAAAATGATTAAATATGCATTTAAAATAGTTGAAAACACAGTAAAGTACAAAATAATTAAGTTAAGGCCTTTTTTTAGGACAGAGCTGGTACAGAGGATGTGTTAAAACTTTTCTTTTGGGGGCTAGGGAGAGAAGGGGCTGGCCATTGCACACTCAACAGCACCAGATATTTACACTTTATCTACTTCAATCAATCCACTAGCCAAGGTAGACAGTTTGAACTCAGATTATCTGGGCCCCTTTAAGATTTATTATCCTTTCCTTAGGAAAGTTCACTGAGGATTCCTCTTCTTACTTTCTGCTTCTTTTTGTCTTCAAACTACTAAGCTCTTTTCTTGACAAAAGACTTTGTTGATAACGACTTCTACAATTCTACTGGGAGAAAAAAAAAAACTAAAACAAACCTTTCACCCCAACTACTATCGTATCGTTGTTCTCAACAGTCTGTCTGCCTGCCATATGAACGAGAGTTCATCTTTAATGCCCTAGACCGATTTAACCAGCCTCATCCTTGACTGATGGACAGAAAGAGAATAGGCCCTTGTCTCATGGAAGTGTGCATCCTCCCGACTATATCCCACAGGGCTTCTAAGAAAGAACGGTCAAGGAGCCAGAGCGTCCAATGTTAGAAGTCTACCAGTGTTTTCCGAAAATCAGCAAGAGGCAGAATGCAGCTTTCTAACAATTGGTCACTCCCTAGCAATTAGTCACTCTCACAGCCAAAGAAAAACACTTTTCAAGCAGTGGCCCGCAATGGGTCTCATTACCTCTGTTGCTCCCTCAGCTGTTGAATCCAGTAGCACTGATAATAGGGGCTATGACATGTACTCAAGTGATTTCAAGTAACATTTCCAAGCCTGCTCTTAAATGCCACTTCACAGTCCAGGTTAAAATGGTGTCCCTTGAATCATCACAGCTTTATTAAGAACTTTTCAATATAGTTTTAGCTTTTATTCCAAGATATTGAAGATAAAATAGAATCAAAGTGGACTCTTTCTCAACACTGAATTTAAGTATATATTACATATAATAAAATTTATACATTATATAAAATATATTTTACATTATAATATATAAAAATTATATATGTTAGCATTAATTTCTATTGGCTATACATAAAAATAGCCTTGTGAGTCGAAAGAATCTTGAACTCTCATATAATTCTAATCCGTCCTTTCTTTATACAGCATTTCACTCACCCACTCATTCACCTAACATCACTGAGTGCCTTTGCATATGCCAGGTCCCCATAATAGGTGGGGGGATTGACAAGGCACAGTGTCCATTCTAGAAGAACTTGTGGTATAATGTAAGATACTGACAGAGAGATGGAGAATTCCAATCCACTGTAGTAAGCACTCCAGGGGAGGTTTGTCCAAGTTGCTATGATAGGAGAGGAAGAACAATTTCAATATCTACTCAGGAATAAAAGCCAGGAAATGGGGTATCTACAGGTCAGTGGTAGATACACAGCTAATGGAGGTAGGTTATTATTTAAAAAGCAGAACACTGGCCTCAGAATGTCAATCTGTAGATGGGTACCAATTCAAAAGAAAGAAAAGAGTTTCTTAAAAAGCTAAATGCATTCAATTTAAGAGTTGTTTCTCTGAGATCACCCACTGTTTCCTGATATCAAAGTGGGAAGAGAGAAGTGTTCTGTGTTTGTTTTTTAAGGTCACAATCAAACAAAATAAAAAGTTGGCAACTCTATGTTGGTTTCCAAAATTCTTTCTATGGACTGGTCATAAAATTTTAAAATATGTATATAGTATATACTTTATATAACATATGTATATAAACATATGTATTTATAACATGTATTATAAATTATAAACACAGGCATTTATAATATGTATTACTTATATAGAAATTATACAATATATAAATGTATATAATTATACATATCCACATATATGGGATTCTCTGACATGAAAGACATCAGAAAAGCCATTCTTGTCTAGGGAATGTGACCCTGGGTAGGAAATGTATAGTAATAGGAGGCTCAGCCTCAAGTGGACTAAGTGCTGGGGAGGCCCAGGGTGAGACCACTGAAGGAAAGCGGCCACTCACCACACCCCGGTTGTTCTTCAGTTCACCATGACAACACAGTACTCTCGAGCTGTCGATCAGGGAGTCTTTCTGGCATTCTTCCAAGTAAATAAGCCGTTCTTTATAGTAACGGCATTCAGATTCCCCAGTCTTGGTGTTGATTTCTGCTACAATTCCCTGAATGATGTTTATCTATGGAAACAAAGAAGAAAGTACGGAGAGTGTAAGCAAGTCACCCATACCAACAAGACCCAGAGGCTCAGCCTGCCAAGTCACCGAGATACACCTGGGTCTAATTCTAAGATTCTGTTATCTAAGTTGCCGCTTTGGTAAAATAAATGCTTTTAATATACTGTATCTATCTATCCATCTATACACATACACACATAGATATATACACACATATATTTGTACACACATACAGATATTTGTATTATATCTACAAGTAATGTTAAGCAATTTTATCTGAGAGGATGAGATAAAAGGTACCACTTTCAATGTGCAGGGTTCACAGCTACTAAGGTCCAGGTCACACATTTCTTAAAACTATATACACTCATGCCCATGCCTTTAGCACATGTGAACAAGTCAGGGGTAGAGAGATTTCAAAGCAATTGTGATACAATATTGTTAATACAAAATAGAGCAAAACAAAACAAAAAGAGTACAGCACTGAGACATGATCAGTGGGCATTTACTCTGATGATGTGTCTATATCACATAGGTACATCTAAAAGTTAGATAATACTAAAAAACAAAGGAACAAGAAATCTGTGGAGTAAAGAACTCTAAGACACCAATCAAAGGCAAAGTAATGAATTCCTCAGCAGGGTCTTCTGTCTCCTAACAGTGAAAAGACTAAAAGTCCCATCTTCCTTTTGATAGTATTAACTGAAAAGAACTTAACAGATGAGAAATATTAAGAAGGCCTCTTCCTGGTCACATTAACTTAATGGAAAAACCAGTTAATCTCTGAAAAGCAAGGTTTTAAAAGAGAATTTTACTTGGCAGAAAGTTACCAGGTCTCGCAATGTGTTAAAGTGGTAATGGATTATCTCTAAGATTAAGTGATTAGTTTTCACATGCTAGTGAAGTGATCTTCTCCTCAAAACAAGTGAATGAAAACTTCTACCAGTTATAACATTAGAACTTCTATGTAAATGTGAAAGATCTTATAGCACTAAGCTGAAGTCCCGTGATGGTAGCCTATGAACAGATGCATAATCTACACACTTTTGTAGCTATTAAGGGTTTCAGAGATCATTTATTTATTCTTTTCTCAATTTCTTATTTGGATGGTAGCACTACTTTGATAATTAAAAAACACATTATTTAAAAAAATATAGGTTTATTGTGTCATAAAAGACTATTTCTGGCCTTTTATGTCAACATAATATTAAATATAAACCTGTGAAATTAACATGAGTTTAACATTTTTTAAAAAATTTTTATTGAATTTATTGGGGTGACATTAGTTAATAAAATTATATAGGTTTCAGGTGAACAATTCTATAATGTATCATCTTTAACCTGAGTTTTATTAACACAAAATAAGTAATAATAGAACACTTCAGTATACAAACTTTCTGTTTCTTTTTTCCCCTTTTGGTTTTCAAAGATGGCTGATTATTTATTGTTACCTTCAAAAACAAACAAAAAAGAAATTGCACAAAATATGCTAAAGGTATGATTCATCCTTCAACTTAATTAAACTAGTGTTTGTTGAGCACCTGTTCATTGTTAAACTGGGTGGTGGCATTCAAAGAAATGAGAGCAGTTTAAAATGTATAGGAGGTATCTGAGCAATTGCTTCATTTCTACCTTATCCTTTTACTTTACTACATTTTTAATATGTTGTAGAGTCCATATTTTTCCCTTGTTTTTAAAGATCTTAGCATTAATTGCTATGACTCATAAGTTAATTATCACTAGGTATACCTGGGCAGCTGAAATTAACCAGTACACGAGTCAATTTTCTGAGTTTCCTGCAAGTAGACAGGAAACCAGGAAGATGTACTACAGCCATAAAGGTGTGTTCATCTTCTAATTTAACTCAAGAACTGAAGTGCTGGCATATCGCATGAAGATTAATAAATTCAAATACCATAGTGGCTCCTTAGGCAGTTATGACTACTACCAAATTGTGCTTCTTTCTCCGGTGTTTAAAAAAGTATAAGAGACAAAACAATGGAAAACATCAGCGTTAATTCATATTCTATGTGTACATTTATAGTAGTAACTCTGGTTGGCTTTACTAAAAATATTATTTTGTATTTATATTCACCTATATACCATGAGAGTCTCATCCTTCTGTACTGGTTCCTGAGAGAATTTATTTTGCAGAATTTCAGTGAGGAATAAAATTCAATATAGCAGATTGCCAATAGCAAACAGTCATGGTAGTTGCACATTTAAATAAATTTATTGTTGCATCTCTTGTCAAACCAAAGGAAAGGGACTGGTAAAGGAAGATGATGAGAGGTACCTGGTAACAGAAGAGGGATCAAGCCCACATATGCTAGAGTTATCATCCTCAAAGTGGAATCTGAAAGCTCTGTCTGTCTAGTCCTTTGTGTGATAATATCATCTACTCATAGGCTCCTGTCATGAACCAAGAACAGCAGCCTTCACTGTTGTTGCATCAAAACAAAACTGTTCTTCCCATTAATTTCAATGATTTTTTTAAGGATTTGAGGAACAGTGGTGGGTCGAGGGGAGAGAGAGATGGTCTGCAGGATCTTTCTGGTTGAAACAGTCCTGAGAATTTAAAGCATTAAACAACCAGTTCTCTGAAATATCTGAATATCTGAAGTTCTCTTTTAAGAAGTTCTCTTTTGGGGGAAATTTCTTTCAACCCTCCAAAACTCATATTAAGAAATTCTAATAACGATGTGGTAGTTTGTGCATTGCATTAAAAACAAAATATTTCTTTCGATCTGAATCATAGGACTGAATGCTTGGTGTAGAAGCAATTTACTTAAGAGTTCTCTGCTGTTTTTTTTTTCATAGGTGGAAAATTTATTCAGGGATCATATAAGTCAAGCTACACTGGTACTGTGAGTTTTATGTTTATCAAACATTCATGATGCACCCAAGATTATAGGGCTAAGTATTTCTGCTCATCTGCAGTAATGCTACAAGGACTTTGAAAAGACTGGGAAAAAAAAAACAAAACACCCCTGTGTCTATATTGTGCAAATGGGCATTTAGAAGACTTGCTTTGCAGACATTTCTAAATGCAGGTATACCATGCCTCATGCACAAAATTTGCCTTAATTACTAGGTGCAGAGTCAACTTCTGAAAATGGCATTACCTTTTATGCACCAGGGAAATCAGTGCACTCTTTCATATTGCAAACAATCATAGTCGTATCTGCCGGTTTTTAAATTCAAACTTTAGCTCACAGGGGTTTTTTTGGTTTTTTGTTTTTGTTTTTTACACATAGTATTATTCTTTCATGCTGCATATTAAGATGAAGAAATCTTTACGATAAAACTCTAAACAGGTTTGTGTGCTTTAGAAAAGTAATTATTTAGACTAGTTTCTATGAGAATTCCGTTTTCATTCCTGCAGACCACACACTGGCTAGGATGAAATATGGAGAGGAAGCAACACTATTGCATTCTCCCCAGTAATAAAAACAGACGTGATGAAGTGAGATGGGCCTCATCCCTGGGGCCTATGTCCCCTATTGTGCTGGACTGGGGGCCTGGTCTGTGTGAATTGGGCCTGCCAGACACCTCATAAATCAGGAGAGTTTTTTCTCATTTTTCTCTATCTCTACACAGAGGCACGTGGCCTAGTTCTGCACCAGTGAGGCCTCTCCACAAAGCTTGGTGGCCAGAGAGCTTTCTGTAATTCTAAAGGCAATGGGCTCAAAGCAGCCAAACTTTCAGTTCCATGGTATAGGATCATAAAGAAGTGGAAAAGGCACAGGATTTTCAGTCTGCACTGACAGGTTGAAACATCAATTCCATCACTTGCTGGCTCTGGACCTGGCAAGTTATTTTACCCTTCCAAGCCTCATCTGGAAAATATTCCTAACAAGAACAGTTATCTCATGGGTTACTATAAGGATACACAAGATACATACCTATAAGGCAATTACATAAAGCTGATTTACTAGGTATTCAAGAAATGTCAGCAAGTATTAACTATAATTATTGTTGCTGTTAATACTACTTATTACTAAACCCTTCTTTGGGAAGAGATAGGCACTTTGCTCAGCCCATTCAAGGCATCTGATTTCCAAATCACCTATGCATATTCTATGTCTGCCACTGTCACAGACCCAGTGAGGGAATGAGCCCTGTGAATTGCTTTCTTAGCCTCCATCCCTGCTGCCACCTGCCTGAACGGGTTTCCATGACTACACACCTGGATGGCTGCAGCATCCTCCGACTTGCCTCCCTGTCCCTAGTTACTGCTTCCTCTGTCCCCTGTTCTACAGATGAGAAGACTAATGTGCCCAAGGTTACACAGTTTGTCAGGGATGGAGCTGGGATTTTAACCCTGAATCTCAGATACATAGAAAGCAAAACACAACGAAGAAAAAATGTTCTCAAATTGATATTTAAAACCCTCTATAATCAGATATAAACCCCAGTCCTCTGCCTTCTGTCTTACTGTTTCCTCAGACTACCCTCCACCTCAGGCTGACTGATCTGTGGCATTCCGCAGGTAGGACTTGTCCTGTCATTTCTTCACACCTTTGCCCAGGCCATTTGCTCCTCCTGGCCTGCCATCTCCTCTGCCTGTCCCGCAGAGCACCACAATCAGAACTGAGCTCTCTGGGCAGAATGCTCACAGTTTGCAATGTTCTCATGATATAGACCCCATTTTTCTAGACCTTCTCTTGTTGTTGGGGAAGAACTCATATTCCCCATCTCAATGAACATTCACTGATGAGCAGGACTAGGTCCCCACTTCAATTGGAGTTCAAAGGGAGCTGAATCTTAAGTGGGTGTTGACTTCAAAAACGGGCTTTGGGGCAAAGATAAAAGGCAACTCCAATTTGCTAACTATACAAAGATATTCAGTTTAAAATCCCTGCAGACATCTTAACCCTGGCAGCAACGGTAACACACAGTTACAGAATAAAAAACTTTTGGAATCAAAGGGACTTTAGACAAGATGGCAGCATAGGTGCCGGCTCGCCTCCTCATACAACCACATCAAAATGACAACTAAATAGAACAACCTTCACTCAGAACCAGGAGAAATCGAGTTGAATGGAAGTCTTGCAACTACAGAATTAAAGGAACCACATCCATCCAGACTGGTAGGAGGGGTAGAAAGGCCAAACAGGTTGGAACCACATCCACATGTGGTAGATAAAACTTCTGGAGGGATATCTCGGGAGTGAGGAGTCCCAGCCCCACACCAGGGCCCCCAGCCCAGGGTACCAGTACTAGGAAGATACCGGCAGGGATTGAGTTGGTAGAAGAAACTTCAGGAGTCCCAAACAGTTCCTCTTAAGGAACCCACACACGAACTTACTCAGACTCACTCCTTTTGAGCTCCAGCACCAGGGTGGCTGCTTGAAAGGCACCAGTGTCGTGCACGGAGGAATTGAAGTGGCTGGGGTCAAGGTGAGGGCTGGGGGACAGCTTTCTCCCAGACAGAAAAGTGAGCAGAGCCACAGAGCTCACGGCAGGTGGCATATCTGATACTACATCAACCTGACTAACACTGTTTGTCCAGCCCTGGAGATTCCCTGAGGCTCTTTCCCACCCAACTTACAGCTGTTAACAGTAGCTTTTCCATATAAATGGCTGGTCTTGGCTCAAGCTTCCCAACTTCCTAAATCCTTTCAAACAAGGGTGACTGGTCTCAATAAGCCCCCAGCCCCATGTTCAGTGGCCCCAAGCATGGCACTAGTGGCAGCCAGCCTAGATTCACTGCTTGGCTTCACATGGACATCCCAAGCCCAACACAAGCAGCAGCCATCTCAGAATGTTCTGTAGCTCAGGCAGGGTGGCCCCAGGCAAAACACAGGTGGGCCTGCACCACCGGGCACACCCCTGGGCCTGCACACCCAGTGGACAGCTACAGACCATGTCAGAGCACCACCACCCCGCCTCACAGCCAATCCTTGCTGACTGAATGACCTGGGTAAATCCCTCCCATTGACATGCCCACAGCAATCAAGGCTCAACTACAAAAGGAGGGTGTACTCAGCCCACACAAAGGGCGCATTGACTACCCAGCGTGGGTGATGGGGTGACTGTGCCACTGGACCTGATAGGATACCTGCTACATTAGGCCACGATATCAAGACAGGGAGTCATAGAAGCTCTACCTAATACATAGAAACAAACACAGAGAGGCTGCCAAAACAAGGAGACAAAGAAACATGGTCCAAATGAAAGAGCAGATCAAAACTCCAGAAAAAGAACGAAACAAAATAGAGATAAGCAATCTATCAGATGCAGAGTTCCAAACACTGGTTAAAAGGATGCTCAAGGAACTTAGTAAGGACCTTAACAGCACAGAAAAGATCCAGTCAGAAACAAAGGACACACTAACTGAAATAAAGAATATGCATTTACAGGGAAACAACTTTATTCGCAGAGCGAATAAAGCTGAGAAATCAAATCAATGATTTGGAACATAAGGAAGCAAAAAACAACCAATCAGAACAACAAGAAACAAAAAATCTAAAAACAAACAAAAAATGGGGATAGTATAAGTAGCCTCTTGGACAGCTTCAAGCATTCTAACATTCGCATCATAGGGTGCCAGAAGGAGGAAAAAAAGGGCAAGAAATTGAAAATCCATTTGAAAAAAGTAATGAAAGAAAAGTTCTCTAATTTTGTGAAAGAAATATACCTGCAAGTACAGGAAGCACAGAGTCCCAAACAAGATGGATGCAATGAGGCCCACTCCAAGACACATCATAATTAAAATGACAAAGGTCAAAGATAAAGAGAGAATCTTAAGAGCAGCAAGAGAGGTGCAGTTAGTTATCTACAGGGGAGTCTGCATAAGACTGTCAGCTGACTTCTCAAAAGAAACCTTCCAGGCTAGAATGGATTGGCAAGAAATATTCAAAGTCACAAAAAACAGACAGCTACAGCCAAGACTGCTTTAACCCAGCAAAGCTGTCATTTAGAATCAAGGCAGGTAAAGAGCTTCCCAGGCAAGAAAAAACTAAAGAATCTCATCATCACCAAACCATTATTATATGAAAAGTTAAAGGGACTTATTTAAGAAAAAGAAGAAGATCAAAACTATGAACAATAAAATGGTGATAAATACATATTTATCAACAATTGAATCTAAAAAACACCAACTAAGCAAACAAGAAGGACAGAGACAGAATCATGGGGAGGGACAGCATTTTGATGATTGCCCGATAGGAGGGGTGTTTGGGGGAATGGGAGATGAGGTGAGGGGATGAAGAAGTACAAGTTGGCAGTTACAGAATAGCCATGTAGATGTAAAGTACAGTATAAGAAATGGAGTAACCAAAGAACTTATATGCATGACCCATGGTCATGAACAATTGTGTGGGGATTGCCTGAGGGAGTGGTGGGTGCTGGGTGGAGGGGAAATTGGGACAACTGTAATAACATAATCAATAAAATTAAAAAACACACAAAGGGACCTCAGAGTGCATTTCATGTAAAGACTATATTTTATAGGTTAGGAAATTGAGTGAGAGAGAGAAGTAACTTGCAAAATCAAAACATAGTCAATGGCACAGCTAAGTCTGGAACCCAATATTCCTGAATCCCATGTACCCAAAGACCCTTCACTCACCCATTTACCTAATTCTCTACCATTACATGGGGAAAATATCAAGGCAAGAGAGAAAGAAACAAACTTACAGCTTCTTCCAGGTGCTGGTGATCTGGATTATCATTTGGTGTGTGCCTCAGGATTTCTCGGAGAAGCAGAGGGTATTTTACCAGGCGGCTTCTTGGAATATCGAGGAAATTCCAGAGATCTAGTTTGCGGCTAAATGGGGATTCTAAGCATCGCTGGAGGAAATCCTGGACTCTGTGATCTTGTTTCTTGTGATCCAGCAGAGCTTTGGCAGCTACTTGATTGCTGCAGTAGCTGTCATAGGAGCTGAGACAAGGCAGCTAAGAAAGAAACGTCAGAAGAAGGTTGGAGTGTTAAAATAACTGAAGCTACAAGCAAACATCACTTGTTCGGACTGGTCTCCTAACAAAACCTAACTGGTCTCCAGGCCTGGCCAGCACTCCTTTATCTGCAATGCTGGAGGACACAGACCAATGGAATCTTCAAAATGGCAAGTAATGAACAGTTTTTTCAGGCGCTGGTTTGCTTGCAAAAACTAATTCTCTTAATTACATGTTTATTTTCTTGATTGTTTAGACCCCTGTCCTACATTGTTTGCATTTTGGCCAATCTAAACTAGAAACCAAAGAACTAAAACTATTGAATATGCATATACTTTAGGATTTTCCTAAACTTCCAAAAGTATCTGGTGAGGGGAAAGCCTCCTACTTAAAAAAAAAAAAAAAAAAAAAAAAAAAAAGAATTTCTTTTAAAATTATTCATAGGATACATTTGTAGAAGACTCTGGCATGAAAAGAAAGAAAGGATTCAGACTCCACAGCCCGGCCCTTGGCACGGCTTGGTGCAAGTGCCTCTATGTTAAAGGTTAACTGAGTCTAAGGCAGACCAATTATAAAGAATGCCAAGAACTTAAAGCAAAAGTATAATTAGTAAAAAATTAGATGCGGGAAGCATTTAGTAAAATCTTTTAAATTAGTTCTGACAGGCCAGAAATCATCCTTGGCTCTACCCAATGGTTAACATCACAATACCATGCAAAGAGCAATTTAAGCTTAAAGATTTTGGAACATTCTAACTCCACTATCTCCCTTCCAGTAAAATACTAATTTCTCTGACACGTTCCATCAGTCAAATCACGCAAACACGGAGTCAGAGACTCAGGGAAAGGGCTGCTCATCTCCCTTTTCCACTCCTCCTTCTTAGTGGCACCCAAGACCATGCATCCTAATGCATGGCCGTCAGCTTCCAGAGTTAACTGAAGCAAAAAAATGCAGTTAATGGCCCTGCTGTGTGTCTCTCCCTGGGATTACAAAGCCACATTTACCACAACACCTGCTCTGCAGGGGGATTCAGTGCAAGACATTTCTGCATCCTCAGTACTTTGCACTGGGCCTACTGCAGAGCAAAGTTTATTTTCTGAATGAACAAATAAATTAATGTTAATGGATTACCAGATTAGGTAATATTTGATGGTTTGGGAACACAGCTTAAAAATAAATTGTGGCAGCGTCTGAACAATGGGTCAAAGTTTAAGTATCCTGCTGCTTCTTTTACACCTCTTACTGAAATTATTTCCTCAATGACTGAAACCAGAAAAAGATTCCAAGGATGTTCATCGTTGAGTTTAACATTCCTTGGAAATGTCTACCTTCCTTACATGTTATGAAGAACCTCTATTTGTGTCAAAAAGAACTGCAGAAATTCTTCCCTCAACCTTGTATTTGAAAGTAATGAGAATTGGTCCAGACACACCCCCCTCCAGATGTGGTATTGTGGCTTGTAATTTAGATTTTCAGAGTTAATTAAAATGAGCCTCAGGCTCTACCAATTTCATTTCCACTTCCTTGCCTTTTAAAGAGACCTGGAAATGCCCAATGTTTTCATTATGGAGAGACAATCAGCAGTAATCATCGGATGTAAACTAGTGAGAAACCCCCAAAGACACTGCTGCTCACTATCCAATGGGCCATGGCTCTCTGTGATCCTGCCGCCACTGCTGTCATGGCAACCAAACCCAGCTCTGGTCCTGTGTTCACACCTGACAGGGTGCTCATTTCCTGAGCATGACCTGAAAGGCTATCTGGCTTAGGCCACTGACTGGAGAAGACCACAAGTGACCTGTAACTAAATTGGAAAGGAAAAATGTACACATCTTGATTCCCAACTACATACACATGTACTTATATGAAATGCAAGAGGTGATAGCACAGTGGTTAAGAAGACAGACCCTGGAATCTGGGAGAATCATGTTCAAAGCCAAATTCAGACAGTTACTAGGAAGGTGATCCTTCTGAGCCTCAATTTCTCTGCTTGCCAAATGCATATACTAATGCCCTCCTCTCCTTTAATGAAATAAGGCAGATAAAAAATGTAGCATGAGCTTGGCTCCTGGTTAAGAATCAGTAAGTAGTAGCTATTATTATTATTATTATTAATCCCTAGAATATTTTTATTGGAGAAATTGTGATTTAGAGAAGGAAAACTACTTGTTCAGCTGGAGACAAAACCAGTCTGAAGTATGTTCTCTCCTCACCCCACCCCCAAAGCTCTGAACTCACCATCCCTCAAGAAAGAATTTATAAGGGAAACTCTCAGGGTTTTTTTTTTTTTTTAGAAATTCTTTCTATCTCCCTAACATTGTGAAAAGTGACAGAACAAATCTATATGCTTCCATGTACCCTTCCTCTCTCTTTGGAATTAAAATTTAATTAGAACCCAAATTAACATGAGAACTTGCTGCTCTGAAGAGCTTATAAATTATTTTATTAGTGAGAAAATGTTAGCACGAAGATAAGTCACTTTGGAAGTTGTTTCTTTATGACCGAGGAGGCTTATGAGGGCAGGCTGACCCATCAGGGAGAGTGATTCTCAGTGACCAGGGTGGTTCCCTGAAAAAAGAAAATCACCACTCTGTTTAAGGTCTTCAAAGTAAAAGTAATTGATTCATTCTAAGGTCAAAAGGACTGGCCAGGGCTAACTCACTTGGGAGGCTCACTTGTTTAAAAAGTCCCCCCCACCCCCAGCACTTTTCCTTTGGGGGGAAATAAATCAATTTTTCATGGGTCAAATGGGCTCTGACTTTTCTCATTCAAAGTCCAGTAAGATGTTTATTTTGTTCTGTAAAAAAGACCAGAACTCAAACAGATGTACCCCTCGGTTTACAGTTCCCACTCACACAAACACATCTGCAGTTAAAAGAGGGAAAACATTTAATAGCTCGTCAGGTCTGATAAATAAGGACCATTTCTCATGGGGACTGGTAACAATGGGCCAGTTGTTTAATTTTAGGCTGCTCCCCAAGCTGCAAGTCCCCATTTGATGTCGGAAGGATCCAGAGAGCAATGAGCAGCATGGCCTCATTTCCTTTGGGTATGTACAGAAAAGGACTGCAAAAAGCTACCCCTCAGATCAAACCAAGTTTCTAATAAAAGCCCACACATTTCTTTCAGGAAAAAAATAATCACAAAGCAAATGCCTATACTTTTGCTTGTGGTACAAACCAAATTTGTATATCGGTGTCTAAGGAAACCATGTAGTTCTATATTGCCACCTCATCAGAAACAGAGCAGTCGCCAGGCTAATTCTGGAGTGCGGCCTCACTGGGCCCTTGGCTCCCATCAAAGCAGTCTGCTCACTCAGAAGGTGAAGCACAGTGAAGCACTCCCTTTCTCCTCATTACACCTTCTCTGTCTCTAGCTGTATGGCTCTCTTTAGAAAAATTTCTTTGTGGGCTAAAGAAGTTAAAACATCTACCGATGCTTATAATAAAATGAAAGTCAAAAATATAAGATGAATGACCTCTCCTGAAATATTAAAGCCCATTTTCTAAATTATTCATCTTAGAACATTGCTTGCCTTTCAGATACCCTTGGGATATTTCAGCCCCAGTGCTAAAATTGACTCCTGAACTAAAGCTAGCTAAGTCATGAAACCTTCAAAGTTCTGGAGCAACGCAGTAATTGAGAAGCATAAGTTAATGTAAGAGATCAATGTCAAAACTTAGGAATTAGAGGGTTTTAGGGAGGTTAAAATACAAACAAAAATGGAACTGGATAAAGAGAACTCACATGATGAGTAGAATTTATAACCTTCATAACACTCTCCAAACAGTGGAATGACTCTAATACTTGTTGTTGGGGCACTATCTGCCTATTTTTCTAGACCACTGTGTGGGACGGAGGGATGAGAGACCTAATCCTGTCTGGAAGAAGTCATCCAAGTGATCTGTCGCTGTTGCCTGCTTCATAACGAATGGAAAACACCTGGAACAGGAGTGGAGCACTCAAGCACTCACAGAAGGAAACAGAAGCATACCACAGGAGTGATGGGGGCTGTGGCAAGATAGAGAGTACATGACTGGCCTAAAATGAATCAAACAAATGAACAACCACCCATGTGCCCAATAAAACACAAATTCATACCAGGACCATAAATTTAGGTCATGGCTGATTTCTTTAATTAGGAAAGGAAAGAAGTTATATTGGGATGAAGGTCAGCATAATACTCAGGACTCCTCTGAGGCTACTTAGGATCAGATATATGCTAAACATTAATAACATTTAGTTATCACCGTGTTTATGAAACTATACTTGACGATGAGAGTTTTTTGATAGCCTGATAAAAGCTTTTTTATGATAGACAGGCATGTGTCCCTACATTTTTACTGGGATAGAATTGTTAATAATTATATTTGCAATTGGCCCGACTTGAACATTAACTAATCTTACTTTATTTTATTGCAAAAAGGCATGTTATCTTTAAATGTGGTAAATTTGTAATAAAAAAATTGATTCCATGCTTTAAGATATAAAGCCTAACTACAATGGGAAGTTTCACTAGGAATTTGCTATTTTATTTTTTTTTCTAGTGTGAAACCAATGTTTGTTAATTTTTTTAAAAACCTAGCTAAAATGAAACTCCATATAGAATATTGATATCTTCAATCAAGACCAGAGAACTTTTCTTACCCAGCCCACAAGGATGGGACCGACGTGCTCAGTGGAGCCATCAGGCTTTCGAACATCTCGAAGCTGACTAAGGAGGTCTGGTAAACAAACAGAATGCATATTTTGTTAGGCATTTAAATATGAACAAGGCTGGAAGTAGATTCTGGGTTACTCACATTATTACATAATCATGACTTGTATAAGGCAACTCAATTAAGGCTACAAGTCAAAACTCATTCTGGGAACAAACTTATACCTTCATGTAGAGGAATTAGAGAGTCCAGTGTTCCAAAAATTTGATTCAACTCCTGTTCTGTCATTATGGAGAGTTTCAGCATGGGGTCATGATAGGCCTGCACAAGAACCACAGAGATGGAAACAAACATTTAAATCAGAGGAAGTAAGTTGTTAATGTAAATGGCTTCTGAGAGGCCCTACAGAATAACAAAATATTTGGCTCTCCCCAACAGCTTCTCCCATAATGCTGCAGAAACAGCAGATGGGTGTGGCTGGAGCACAGGGGAATCCAGCACTGCCTGAGCTTTTCACGGTTGTTGATAAACCAAGCAGATTTTTACAAAGCTTTTTTTCTTCTAGTATACCATACATCTAGAAAGGGCACAAATCTTAAGTATAGAGCAGATTTGATTTGTATGTTTTAAAAATTAACTTTATTACCACCTCTTATTAAGGATAGTTAAACAATAAGAACATATGATTATTCCCAGGGCACTGTAATAGGATACGTAGGCTCAGATGACACAGTCCCTGCCTTCAAAGAGATTTATAAAGCTAATTGGAAAGATAAGAAAAACACATGGAAAATTAAATATATGTTCAAAAAATAGTTCAAGATTATAACTATGAGATGTCACATGGCAGTGAAAATTTATCAAATCATAATTTATCAAATCTAGAGGGTCAGGGAATTAAAGCTGGAGTGGTCAAGGGAGATTATAAAGATGAGCTGTTTGGCATAGAGAAAGGCAGTAAATATTGTTGAAGAATAAATTGAGATTTGAGCTCATTCTTAGAGGATGAGTAGATATGGATGGCTGAAAGAAAAGGGAAGGGTTTCTAGGAAGGTAGGACCACCATAAGCAAAAGGATGGCAGTGAAACATTTTAAAGGTCCGTGGGTTTGGGAAATCTTGATGGAGGAAGGAGGCGTTGTACCTATGACGAGCCAGACAACTCCTAGAGTTAAATGTCCTCCCCATCTTCCTCTTCTTCCCACCCTGCCTAAAACTCAGTTTCTGCCATATCTCAGTAATGTTACAGATGGAACTTCATATGAGCAGAAAGCTGGACTAAAGAACACTTAAAACAAGGGAAGCATCTTTCCAACCCTGTGATTCTTTGAGGAGGCTGTGAATATCAGATGAAGAAATTTGGATTTTAGCCTCCATGAGGGGTGGGGAGGGAACGGGTTGCTGGAGGTTTTTGAGGAAGGTTCATTGTCAAGACTATACACACTACAAGGCATGAGTTTCATCCACATTCCCATACACAATGTAATGAAAAAACATATTGCCATATAAAAGACCCTAGCTTACATGACAGTATGCAATTGACTCACTTAACCATTTTATCTACTTATGAGATTCAAATGACTTTGTTTCTAACATACAGTTCCGGTTTCGGACCATCCACACATTCTCTCTGGTGGCTAAGGAGGCCATGCCCGTGAAATTTCAGGACAACAAAATATACGTAAAGCCAGGCCTCCACGAACACTTTCTGATTAAACTGAAGTATTCTTTGAGGTACATTAGAAACATGCAGAGGAGAAGCCGTCAAGGTGTCAGGTCCAGAGGGCCTTCTTGTTTTGAGCCATTTTCCCCACTCCTTGGTTTGTGCAGGTTCTTCTCAAGTTTGGATGACCTTAGTTATAAAGAGTGCTCATAAAGCACAATCTTGGAATTGTGAAATTACTTAGAGAAAAAGAAATATGAGGGTACCCAAATGACCACTGGATTTAAATTTACCTTTTTTGCCAATTTCAAGTCCTCTATCAAATCTTCTTCTCCTTGGGAAAGCTCAAAGATCGCCTATAAGAAAACAAAAAACATATCCACTGAAATTTTTAATTTATGAGAATGAATTCAAACAGTGCTGGTCCAGTGCTCAAAGCTCCAAATCTACTTACTTCTTAAGCATTTTAAAAGGATTCTTAAAAAGTTAAATTAACCTGCTGCAAATGCATCTAGTGGCTAAAAGCTACAAAGGAAAGATACTGCAAAATATCTTTTTGTAAAAAATATCTTTTTTTAAAATAGATAATGTGCTCATCTATTTGTGGGATAAAGAGGTACCACATATGTTTCCCATTAGAGTCATCTTTCATGTTGTAGGACTTGGATGCAGCCAATAGTTACAGCTTGAGTCACAGGTAGGAGTTTGTTGTGAGTCGCAATCATAATAAGTGATTCAGGGTCTGTTGTTCTCAATGATGGACACGGAAATATTATTAATTGGGCCATAATAATTTGTCTTCCTTCTACTCAACAAAAGGTGAACATCAACAGAAAGCCCTATTCCTATCAGCCATTGTCCTAAGGCTGGGATTATAGGAAGATTCTATTATTTTATCACTCTTAATGTCTGGTGAAGTTAATTCACTCTAAATTACTTCTCACCCCTACACGGTACAATAAATAAAATTATAGAAGCCAGCTATGTGTAAGAGCGTGTAAAGAGACCATTTCTAATTTCGCTCTTTTAAGCTATCATAATTTAAGAGTTATGGTGTGCAGAACACTCACTCTCCTCCAGGACTCTAAACTGTTGGCAAACGTTACATTATCAAACGACAACATATTTCTTTAGACCACAGGGAAGAAGTAAGCAGGATGGAGAATGCCCTGCATGCTTGGGGATGGTGGGGTGCAGGACAAGTGTGCTCTCCAGCAAAGCTGGTAGAGGAGCAACACTCACTGGGGGCCAGTACATGGTATTCCTCCCAAGGCCTAGTAAAGCCTCCATGCCCTGCCCTCCAGATGCTCCATTCTGTTTAACCTTATATTTTGAAATAATTAGAGACTCACATGAGAAGTTATGAAGATAGTACAGAAAGGACCAGTACATGGATTACTCAGCTTCCCTCAGTGGTGGCATCTTACGTAACTATAGAGCATTATCAAAACCAGCATATGGATTGGCACAATATAATTAGCTATCCTTTACTTGGACCTTCCTCCAGATTTCCTCGTACGTCTGTTTTACTAGAGCTCACGCACACAGGCCTGACTGCCTGACTGACCAAATGTGGCCCTCAGAAGAGGAAAATCACAGAACCCCACACTAGAATATGCCAAAGTCAGTTATCTGTGGTGGGACAACAGAGTATCTCTGTGAAGACCAAGGGCTTTGGATTAGGACAGGACCTGAGTTCAAAAGCTAGTTCTGTAACTTTCTAGGTGGGTGACCTTGTGTTTACTGTGCCTACTTCATCTGCAGAATCAATCCCTCCCTCCTTCCTTCCACTATTGATCTTCATCTACAGAATCAATCCTTCCCTCCTTCCTTCCCACTATTTATCTCCATCTGCAGAATCTATCCTTCCCTCCTTCCCACTATTAGATTGTACAAGTAATATATGTACACTATTAGAATGTGAGAAATACAGAAAAGCATAAAGAGAAAAAAAATTAAGTACCCATAATACCATTTTGTTAGCCATTATTAAGATTTTGCCATATTTCCTCACAGAATTTTTTTGGTGCAAATAATTACTTTATTTATTCATTTTTAATAGATAATACATTGACATGGTTCAAAATTTATAATACACAAATTTATATTTAGTGAAAACTTTCCCTCACCTCTTTCTTCCAACCATCCAGTTCCCCTCCAAGTGGGCAACAATGTTACCAGTTCCTTGTGTGTCCTTCCAGAAATGTTTTACAGTTTTATAAGCAAATACATACATATTCACCCACATTCATTTTCTTTCTTCTTTTACATAAATGGTAGCATACTCTACATCCTATTTTGTGTCCTGCTTTACCCACTGTATTCCATGTATGGACATTGTTATTGAATGGTCCCTAGTAATAGATATTCAGGCTCTTTCTGGTACTATTATAAACATTACTGTGATGAATAATCTTACATGTATGCCTTTTCATTTGTGGATAAGTGTGCCAGGCAGATAGATTCCTAGAGAAAAATTTCTGAGTCAAAATCTAGAAAGTTTTAAAGTACTCCCTTTTCCAATGTCATGTTCTCCCCAAAAATAGATATTCCAGGGATTTCACTGCATGATGCACAATTGAAGTGCTTAGTATAGCCTGGCATGTAACAAAGTTTCTATAAATGGTAATATGATCATATCTATTTAGGGATAGCTATACAGAAAACTTATAGGGAATGAAATTAACTTCATTCCCTAGAAAAGTTTTCCACAAAACTGAATCAAAGTTTAATTAACTGAATATTTTAAAATAATTTAAAAGTTGCTATCAAAATATAACGAAATGATTATGATTATTTTTGTGAATTCCAGGGTCTGAAACAGACAGTTCCCAATTTGTCTTCTTTGTAAATTCAGATTTTCACATCAGTTTCTTTTTAAAGCAGGGGCCACCCCCATCCAGCTGAATGCTGGTGTCTCAGTTCCTTAAAAGCTCTGGCACCATTTGTTCTCCTTCTCTAAATGTCATGGAGAACTGACTTGGAGACACAGTGTACACCCCAGCTTGCCTACAGTGCTCCTGCCTCCAGACACACTGACAACTCCGTGGGGCCCAAGCCTACCTCCTGACGTTTGATTTCCTTGGCCGTAAGCATCTGATTGACGCACACGTCGAAGGTCTCACTCCACAGCTTGCTGTCTCGCCGCTTGGTACTCGAGGGGGTGGCATTTCTGGACCAGGGTCGGGGGGCAAGGATGTCAGGACGGCTCTCACTGCGGAAGCTGATGGAACGCTGAACAACAAGAAAAACAAACTGTCACAGGAGCAGCAGCAGGACTGGGTGGATCACTTGAGCAGCTTCCTGTCCCTGACAGAACATAAATCAGAAGTCTGCAAAAAAGAGAGGACAATGCTACAAGGCCTTTTGGGAAGGAGGGCATTATCTTGAGCCTACGGACTAAGGAAAATTGGGCAAGGGGCTGCTTTCACACATGTGCTGGGAGTATTCAAGACCTGGATAAAGCACAAGAACATGCACAAAGGCAGCTCTCAGACATGTAATGGGATCTACTTTTTTTCCATTAAACATTTCCACTCCTGAGAAGAATGACGATTAACAGCAGTGGATGTCCTTTAAAAAAATTCTGGCAGGTACTCCTATTCTCCTTCTCCTTCCAGAAACAGAATCCCACTATCCTTGTGTATCCTGCCTCAGCTTAGTTGGGCTCCCCTAGACCTGACCAATCAGAGTACTCCTCCACCCTGTTTCTGGGAGGGGCACATGATTCCCTGAAATTTGTTACATGAATCATGGGAGAAGGAGTCAAAGACTCTTTATTCTTTTGGGATCCTGAGATCAAGAGTTAATATAAGCAGAAGTTTCTTGCAGCAACTCTCTTTGGTCACAAAGAAGGATCTGTCTGATAAAGGGACACACAGAATGAAGGATGGAGAGAGACACCAATGGCGTAAGAGAGGGAACAAGCTTTACCTATCCTATTAGAGTCCCTGGATCCCACCGTGCTTGAAGGTAGGAAAGGATGCTCTTAGACGAAGGAGCTAACACATTCCCGTTTCTGTTTACATTCATCTCAGTTGAGGTTCTGTCAATTTGAAAAGTACCTACTAACATACATACTAAATATCAAGTAAATGATACATGTCCCTGAGTTATTTTCTTATTTTCCAAAGAGGTGCCAGTAGATTTTCGGATGGTCTAACCACCCAAAGTGCACCCTTGTGGCTGAAACATGCTACCACAGTGCTTTCTCTCGACAAATAAAAACGATCAAGAAGAAAGCTATGTGCATGATATTCAGCCTTCAGCCTAGACTATTTCAACACACTTACTGGAAACTTGACTAAAGCAATGAGGTGCTGCTGTGCTCAAAAACCATATTCTTATTTAGCAAGTGCTCCTTACCATGGTTGTGGACACACATCTGAGGCCTTCAGTGTGAAGTTCCAACCTTTCAGTTAGGTGCATAATAACTCTTATAATCTGACTACAGAGTGTGTGTGTGTGTGTGTGTGTAAATAAATATATCTGGGAACATGTCCTACCACTCACCCATTCTCTAGCCCTACTAGGCTATCTGCCATTCCCTAAATGCATCATGAATTGCCATCTGTGTTTTTAATTTAATTGCTGTGCTTTTTCTTTCTGAATATCTCTTCTTTCATTTCCTACCTGGTTAACTCTTTACTGTCCTCAGGATATCACTCAAACACCTCCTCCATGAAGTCTTCACCAATGTTCTCCCATCCTCTTTTACAGCAATTTGGACATATTGCTGATATAGTAACAATCACATTTTATTATACTTAGTGGTCCCCTGCTCTGAACTATAAACTTCCTGAGTGTAGGAACTGATTTTTCCATGTGACACATGTGCCATTGTCACTAAGAAATTATGAGATAGCTGAAGGTCAACAATAAAATTTATAAAAGTAAAGAAAATTTTAAGATAACTATTAACATAAGGGCATTGTTAAATAAGCTGTCATTCATATTTCCATAAATAATATTCAGACATATCAGTGTCAGACATATCATAGAAACACAAAAAAGCATTGATGTCTGAATATTATTTATGGAATATTTATGGAATATTCATATGGAATATTATATAGCCATTATGACAGTTCTGAGACCATTTTAACAGCTAAAAATCCCTTCTGTGTAAAATCAACATTAAAATCTGTATCTGGATACTGTTTAAATTATGAAAAAATGTATATGAGCAAAGATATAAAGGGAATGCCACAAAATTCTATTGTTTTGCCTGATTACATGACAAGTAATTTTTTTAATTCAAGAAAAATGAATCAATGAAAAATGTAAAAAGAAAACTCCAAAGCATTCAGGGTATTACCAATAGGAAGCTCGCTCTGTTTGCAAGTAGCAACATAGCTTCTCAGGCTGGCACAGGCATCAATGAGCTCCTGGGCTCATTAATGAGCTCACGATTGCTGGGCCAGCCCTGGCCTGGTCAAGAAAGTACTTGCTCCAGATATGCAGTGCAGTAATGGTATCTTATAAATCCTTGTGATCTCTTGAAAGCAGGCCCTTATAAAACAGGGACCAGACTAATGCTTGCAGATCCCCAGCACTCAGAATCAATTAGCCACAGGCACAGAAAGGTCAAAACAAGCAAAGTGAGTCATCAGATAACTCACTCATCTCAGTTAGTGATTCTGATGCCAGCCTGGGAGGAGAGGGAAGTTGAAGAGCAGGAAGAGAGGAACACACAAAAAAGAAGATTCAAAATGAAAGACATTTTCCACTTTCATTTGAGAGAATCAGCCGCCCACCTGTTAGTTTCAGTGCTTGACCAACTTAAAACTTCCCCTTCCCCACCACCAGTTTGAAAGTAATTTATGTTAACTTTAAATTTTCATACATTACAAAAGTATACAAAACTGAGTTCAAATCCCTTCATTATTTTTCCAAGTCCAATTTCCAGAAGTAAATGCTATTAAGCTGGTACTAGATCTTGCCAAACCTTTTCTACACATTTGCTAACATTCACAGAAAACAATGTTTTTTTCTCTTTCTAGTCAAAAATGTCTTTGCATGATACTGTATAAGAATCACTCTTTAAAAAAAAATTTACACTGAAACCTGTATAATTTTGTAAACCAGTGTCACCAAAATAAGTTCAATAAAAATAATTTATTGAGGTGAAATTCACATAAAAAATTAACCATTTTTCAAGTGAACAGTTTAGTGGTTTTTATTTGGTACATTCACAATGTTGTGCAACCATCACTTTATCGAGTTCCAAAACATGTCCATCACCCAAAGTCACTCAATCTTTTTAATGGCTGCAGAGTTAGTATCCCACGGTCTGGATGGACCACATGGATTCAAACTCCAACTGAGGTACATTAAGATCGTTTCCAGTGTCTGGCTCTTACAAAAAGTACCTCAGTGAACATCCTTTATGTATTTGTGCTGGCATTTCTGTAAGACAGATTTCTTAAGTAGAATTCTTTGGTTTAAGAAGTATCAACATTTTAACATTTGATATACGCTGCTACAGTGACCTCCAAACAGTCTGTCCCCAGAAAGGTATATGACATGACAGTACAATTCTTCCAGACTCGCATCAGCAGGATATTATTATCAATCTAATAGGAAAAGCAACTATACCTCCTTAATTTCAGTTTGATATTTTGAATGTAAGATTGAGCATATTTTTATGTATTTATTGAAAAATTTCTTAGAGAGTTGGAGATTTTCTTCTCTTGCAGTTTGAGGGGAAAAAAGAGGCGTGAGCTACACCAGGAAAGCTCTATTGCTAAGAATTCTTCATTTTGTGTTTCCTTAGTGATTGCTGGGTTCTAAGGAGGGAGGGATGGGGAATGTCACAGAAGAGCCATTATGTGCCTGTCCAAGCTTAGCACTTCTAATGAGTTCTCTCCAATCCTTACAACCACACTGCAAGGTGGGAATTTATTCCCATTTTATGAGGAAACTGAGGCTCAGGAAGGCTCAGGCACTTGCTCAGGCAGGATCGAAACCAGATGTATTTGGATCCCAAACTCAGCTCTTTCTCCTATGGGCGCCAAGCCTGCTGTCCCATGCATTGTGGGGAGGTTTCTGTGAGATGAGGCCCAGCCTTCTACGGGTTTAAATCTAGTTAAGGAGAGGGAATGCATTTGCTTATTAGTTGTGGTGGTTCTTTGATCCAATCAAATTTCAGATTCACACCTTTAGTTAGACAGGATTAAAATAAACATTTTTGTCTTTTAAAGACTCCACTTAGAAAGGAGAAAAATCTCAAAGAAGAAAGAAAGAATGCTGGTCAGGTGTGCAGTCAGCAGCTGGCTGGCCCTGGGGGTAGCTCACAGTCAGCGAGGCCCCAGCCAATGGGTGGGTTTTCATGATGCCACTGACCACACACCACAACCCACACCCCTGTTGAGTCATTAATAAAACTGGGCACAGTTAGATAGGAGGACTGAAATTTGGAGAGCAACATGCGACTACTGCGAGAGAGAAGCCACGGTCCTTCAGAGATGCTCCCCATCGCCCATCTCCCAGTGCTGTTTTTCTTTTTTTTTACCATGTGCCATCATATCACTTACTGTTTGTTTCTGACATGTCTGTTTCCTCCCAGCAGAAGGCAAGCACTATGAAGGCAAGGATGTCTATCTGTTCTGTTCACTGATGGATTCATCAGCAACTGGAACAGAGTAGGGCCTCAACAATTCTGCCTAATGAATGAGTGGAATACTGTATGTGTTGGGCACTGTGAGGGGAGCTTTAGAGCCCCACTCTACCCACAAGGTAAGGATTCCTACCTGTTTTACAGATGGGGAAACTTGAGGCTCAGAGAGGGTAACACTTTGCTCAAGGTAATGCAGCTAATGAATAGTGCTCTAGAATTTAAACCCAGGTCAACAGTGAACTCAGAATGACACCCATGTCTGGTTTATTTCAGTCCAACTACCCCTCATCCCCTCAATTTTTAACTGATACCCTACCATGCTTCCTCTAGGGTAAGACTCAAGTGTGGTGGGGGGGGGGTGTGCCCAAATAAAGCAGTTTTAGGCTATTTCCTAGTCCATGGCAGGGATTCTCAACCTTGCCACCACTAACATTTTGGACCAGAAAATTCTTTCCTGTGAGGGGCTGTCTTGTGCATTATGGGATGTTCCACAGTATCCTTACCTCAAATTGCCAGATGCTAGTAGTGCCCCACACCAGTTGTGACAACCTAAACATCTCTAGACAGTGCTGAATGTCCAGTGGGGTGAGAAACACTGTCCCATGGTGACCAGGAA